CTGTGCCTCTGGCAGGCGGGGGGTGGGGGGGGAGGCCTGCTGCACCCCTCCCCCACCACAGGAAGGACAAGCACAGCTGGAAGAGGCGGGGCCAGCCATGGGGGACGATGCCTCAGGCTCTGACCTCCCCCCCCTTGGGTGGAGCCTCCTCTACAGGAAGGCGGTTGCCTTAGTGTCCACATGGGACCTGCCACTGACCAATCCCTGGTGCTGCCAGGCAACTGCTCCTAGGGAGGGCAGGTGCTGGTAAGGAGCAGCTCCTCCCTCCTCTCTACAGGAAGGAGCAATGCCCCAAGAACATCAGGGCTGGCAGCCACCGCCCTGCAGGCGCAGCTGCAGGGACAGCAAAAAAAAAAGTTGTCAGGAAGAAACCAGCCTCGAAGAATAAAGTATGACCTAGGAATGAAGCACGACCGACAATTTCTGCAAAAAGCAGCAAGGGGGTGCATTAGAACCCTTTCTAAAAAGCAGATGAAGAGTTTGTATTACCCCAACTGGCAAATTAGGATCTGCTTCTAAACTCCTGGCAAGTGAGGGAAGAACGAAGGGATGGCAGCGTAAGTTCCACCACAGGCCGGCCAAGGAACTTCTGGCCCACAGAGCAGCCCCCTCTTATTGAGGCAGGATCCTGTGCTGGCTGCTTCCTGCAGAGGCAGATCCCATCAGCAGCATGCCCACTGTAAAGATGCAGCCCCCAGGGCTGCAAGGCTGCTAAATAGGGAGCAGGACTGGAACCCAGGTGGCCTCAGTCCCTCCCTCTCACTCTCTCCAAACACATCCCAGCTGGACAGGTGGGGACTGGACAGGATGCAGTCCAGGTCTTCCTCAGGCCCAGGAAGATCAGTTTCCAGCCACACTAGGCTTCACAAGCACAGACCAATCCCAGGATGATGGGGCTACCAAGTCCCAGGTAGAATGCTGACACAGGGCTTTGGGTCAGATGCAGATTTCAATTGCTTCTACCAAAAGATGCTTTATTTTAGTAAAATGTCACCTTCCAACTGGTCTGAGAACCTCAGGTGGAAAACCTATTCTAAAATAGCTCCAAAAGGGTGAATCATGCTGTGGCAGGAACCAACATTTTTAAACAGGACTCAAGAGACCAATACCCCTGGCACAGGCCAGGTAAATATTTCTTGATTAAAAAAAAGAGAGAGAGTAAATAAGTACAAGTCATAGAGCCAGAACCCTGAGGCATTATCATTATTTTCCGTACTAGGAAATGCTATTTATACTACACTGTTACTAACAAGCAGCAGGAACACTACTAGTAATACTTCTGTTTCAAGCGTGAGGGAAGTGAAGCTTAGAAATGTGCTTAGGAGAAATGACAGAGCTGATGCTCTAAAAAGTTGACCACGTGGGATGCTTTTTCCAGAGCCCAAAGAAGGGAGTGAGCAAGAGGAGGTGGCAGAAAGAGGGTGCTAAGTGTACAGTGACCTCATGGGGAGTACACGGGGCGGGGGCGGGGTGGGATCTGCAGCCATGGCTGATCTGGGAATAGACTAAGGCAGGGGGTAACAGAGGGAACAGTCAGGGCAATTCTGTATCTCATGGCTCAGGAAGGGAAGGGGACAGAGCAATGGGGAGACATGGCCAAATGCTGGATGTACTTTAGGAGGACATGGACAACACAACATGCCAACAGCTGGATGTGAGTGAGGTGAGAGAGGGTTGCTTCATTTTGTTTTTGCCTGAGCAACTGGAAAGATGGGATTAATTTTCTGAGATGGGGAAGGAGCAGATTTGGGGGAAGAAGGTTGGGAGTGGGACAGTTTGGCACGCAGAG